CGAAAAATTCCGGGTTTTTCGACCGGGTCATCACCCGGCCGCCCCATTGTGGGTCTGGCCGAACCCATAATGGGCTTGTTAAATGAAGCCCTCTTATGCCACAAGGTGGAAAGAGTTAATAAAAAAAAATTGTCCGTGTGGCGCCATCTGTTACGATATTTTATTATCAAAAACTTTTTATATTTTTAATGATTACAAAATGGCAAAAAGCTTAATTTTGAAGGTAAGGATGGGCTTTAAAAAAGTTATAAATGCTACTAACGAGTACTGAAAATCGTCGATAAGTCCGATTTTAACGGAATCGGTGCTGTCTTATCCGTTGGGCACTTTGGGCATGGTGCCTAGAGTCTACGAAATTAAAAATTGAGAAATACAAATTATGTGAATTAAAATAAAACATTACATTTTTTTTTTATTTTATGTAGACTTTTCTACACGTTTTTCCTGCAAATTCTTTAATAATTTCTTCCACTCGAAACTGTTTTAATAATAGACCGCGCCACGATACTACCGGTGACGCCACCGACGGTAAATTGCTAAAATTGTCGATACGGTAGAATCCCGATTATCCGACGCTGCATGGGATAAAAAGCAACTCCGGCAATTTAGGATTAAAAATTACGAGTACGAAAGATTTAGACTGTATCACTTTTCAGCCTCTTTTTTATACTTTAGTGAAGTTAACCATATACAAGAATAGTTTTTACATTATTTATACAACTAATAACCTACAATAATTTTAAGAATAAAAATGAAGGCTATAACCTTGTTGCTATTTTTTAATATTAGTGGTTTGTCTGGCTTCCAAGTAAAATAATAAAAGGTAATGAAAAAACTTATTTTGTAGTAAGTGATATCGTAGTTTATTATTTTAAATTAGTCGCTGACAAGGAAGGAACTAACACGAAATAAGAGAATACCGAAGAATCAAACGCGCGAGTTATCCGAATTATCCGACTTTTTTTATGAAAAAAGAAAACGAATATTAGTTAGGACACGAAGTATGCCTGGAGTAAAATTACTTACGAAACAAATATAAATTTTAAGAAATTTAATCGGCCATCGAAGGATTTGTAACGAAGAGAATTTTATTTACTGTTTCGCTGTTAGTCGTTTCTCTTCTCTGTTTCTTATTACACTTTTCATCATTTTTGACGAAAATTTTTCCGCCGTTTTCATTTGAACGATAAAAATCTCTCGCCAAATCCCGGGAGATGGAACAACCCGAGCTTTCTTTCGAAGCTAACCTTTTCACTATTTCGGGCTTTCGAAACTGAACCCTCTGTAGTTTATCAACACTAATACCCGGCGTCGACGAATCCTAATCCAAAATAATACTATATTGTGGCGTAATAAAACATTTTCGTACCGATACCACCATTGCGACACTAGGAGACGGGCTCACCACTTTCCACATTTCACCAGACGTAAACTCTAAATCTTAAATCGGAACAGATTTAAAATACAGTAAGACCCCGCTTAACGCGGGGTATGCGTTCTTAGACAACAAAGCGCTAAGCGAAACAGCGTTAAACGAGGTCATTTTAACATAGAGTAAATAGGGATAGGGGAACACGCGACCAAAAATAAACAAATTTTACTTTAATTTTAAGTTATTTTTATATTAATTTGTATAATAATATATGTTAAATAACACATAAACATAAGCACATAGAAAAGTAAAGTTTATGTTTTGTGACGAAGGTCCTGACTTTTCTGAAATTCTTTGTTCTTTTGCAATAAAGTCGTGAAGTTTTATTTGTCGCTTTTTTCTTTCCTTAAGCAAATGTCGGTAGCGGAAGAGCGCATCCAAAACGCCTCCCTTTGCTTTGCACTCCTTTCAAAATCTGGATCATTCGCTACAATTTGATCAACAATTTCGGTTATCTTACCAAACTTTCACTAAGGAAATCCGTAGAGAAAGTTTTGGGTTCTTCGTTTTCAGAATCTCTATTTTCCAGTTCCACGTGAATTCCATGTTCTGCCAGTTCTTGAAGGTCGTCGTTGGTGAGGATCTCACCAGAAACCTGCTGTAACTCCTCAATATCCTGCTCGTCTATATCTCCTAGTCCTGCTATATCGATTAGGTTGAGTTTGATCAACCTAACGATACAGAAATAGGCTCTTCTCGTTGAGAATTCTTGGATACCTTCAGCCATAACTTCTTCCACACTTCGTTCGTGCATTTATCAGTTAATTCTTGTCAAGCGAAGTCAATATTTCCTACGTCATCCATGATGTTATACAGTGGAACCTCGGTATACGTCTGCTTTAGAATACGTCCAATTCGGAATACGTCCTGTTTGGACGAAACAAATTTTGCTCGGTATACGACTTAATTCAATTATAAGCGCCATCTATGAACAAGTAGCACTATCGGTGTACTAGACCAGATTAGACGTTCGCGGTGCCACGGTTTATAACTTTGTTAAATTTCTTCTGATTTTAATTTGTAAGTAACATTTTATTATTTTTATTAATCATGAATTGCAAAAAGGCAACAGAAAAAAAAATTGCCATTGGACTTGAAAAAGGAATTTTTTGGGAATTTTGAGGTTGGACGCCTGTTCGAGATTTAACTGTTGCATTCCGTATTCCGAGAACGACGATATCGACAATCGTGAAAAAAAGACATTATTAAATCTGCTAACGTTGTGAAAGGGGTTAAATCAATTTCTAAACAGAGATCGAAGACATTAGATCGTGTCGAGAAATTGCTTTTGCTTTGGATAACTGAGAAACAGTGCGCTGGCGACAGCGTATCGGAAGAAATTATTTGCGAGAAAGCTAAAGGGATACATGCTGATCTGATGAAAACTCAAGCAGGAACTAGCGAGGAAAGCGAGGTGTTTAAAGCCATCCATTTTTTTTTTTTACATGAGAACGGATTAATCATTTTTACATTACTTCTTATGGAAAAGGTTGGTTTGGTATACGTCCTATTCGGTATAAGTCCAAACACCAGGAACGGATTAAGGTCGTATACCGAGGTTCCACTGTATTTTTTTTTTCAAAATTACACCAAACAAACATAGATTTAAAGAAAGTACACCTTTTTGCCACCTTTTGCTGATTGGTTCGTGTTCGTAAATAATCGTATTATATACGAATCAATGAAATGCCGCGATAATTTAAATCGGCGTAAATTTTGAGCTTTTTTTTTGGCTTCGAGCAGACCGCGTTATATCAAATCAGCGTTAAGCGGGGTCTTACTGTATATATATATTTTTTATAAGGTCGATACTTGGTTTTGCGCGTTTGCGTGAAAGTTGTAGAAAACGTCGCAATTTAGCGCCGTTGTAGTTATTAAACTCGGCCGGTGAGAATGGTATAACGTTTATTACGAAGGGGACGTGGCACCTTTCCTGTAATGCAGTCAAATCTCTCTTTAGCGATATTTAGCGGAATCGAGAAAAAATATCGCCATATAGAGATTTGTCGTTATAATGAGAGTTTTTTTTTGAAAGTATCTCCCTCTTTTAAAGTTGTCAGACTGCAAATGGCTTATTTCTACAAAGTTAGACGATGTTAGAACAGACAGCCGTAAAGTATTATTAGTCTCGAAGTGATTTTATTGCTTGTTATTTCTACGGTATATGTTAGACCTCGAAGTCTAAAATTAATCGAAACTCGAATCTTCGCGGAAAAAAATGAATTAAACTTAATTCTAAAACAATTTCTTAAAGTGAATGCTTTTTGTAATTATTGTAAATGTAATTGCCACACCAAAAGATTTCTGCGCGCTTTCTACGAGAATTATATTATGCTAAATAAAATTATAAGTAATTTTAGACGCTAAAACAACAAAAGCACAGCAAATCAGACAGCCGAGATCTAGCGGGTAACATTGGCGATAGGAATCAAGACAAATAGGGATTTAAGAGAGCGCAACATTTTGACCGAAGCAAAGCCATAAATTGAAATTAATTAAAATTTAATTTACGGCATTATTATTGTTGTAAAGAGAGGGAAATACTGCATATTTTACTAGTACGATAATAAAAATATACCGAGAGTTGACCGTACATCGAATGTAATAAAAATTTGTAATGTAACCACGACGTTACGCCGATGTTATTTGATGAAAAATTTAATATTTTTAAAGAGAAAAGTTTATTGGAAGACATCTTTAAATTCGGGTGAATTAAAGAAACTAGATGATAACTAAGGAGGCTAACGAGTGTCTGAAGTAAATTAGCGGAAACCCCGATTATGCAAATTATTTGCAAAATATAGGCTATATTTTTGCTATAAATTTTAAATTTAATTCTCCTTACAAAGTGGAAAAAATACAAAAATATAAATGTATGTACCGAATGGTGTATTTTTACCACCCGCTGCGAGAATCTAAACATAGTAGAAACGAGATAGATCATTCCGGTTACGTAATGTCAAATAAAAGACGGGATTATTGTGTAGATTAACTAGTGAGAACAAAAACCGGAAATTCTCGAAATCGATTAACCGGTTTTGTTTTTTTTTCCGGCTGTTATGAATACATAATAAGAGAAAGTATTGAAATCGTGTTAAATTTTACCTTTCGAGTTTGTTGTGAATCTCAACGTTTTAAGACATCTAAACCCAAAAAAAGTAAGATAAAAAAAAAAAACGAAAACCATGTGTGCGTGTTGGCGACTATTTCGATTAATATCTCGGGATGGAGTAAAGATTTATAAATTAATTTTGGCACAGTAGTTTCTATATAAGAAGTATTAATGCTATTAAATTTTGATGGTTAAAGCACAAGAGAATGTGGCGATAGAGGAGTATTGTGTCATATTTCGAAAGAGATTAGACTAATGAAGATTTTACTTATTATTAACATTTACATTAAAAAAAAAAACAAAACTCATCTCTACCTTCAAAATTAAGCGGTTTGCCATTTAATAATAATAGTTTTTTTAATAACCAAATCTCATAAGAGATGGCGCCACACCGTTAATTGTATGATTAATAATATAAAAGTTATTTTTATATAAAATCTCATAACAGCTGGAAAAATTACGCAACTCATTGCTGGATTTTCTATATATCAACCGGTTTCAAAACAGCTTGGAATTCAGTAGAATTCCAAGAAGTAGAATTCCAAAAAGTAGAATCTTGGCTTATATTTATCGTAGTACTTTATTATTAATAATAAAATATTAATATTTTATTATTAATAATAAAGTACTACGATAAATATAAGCCAAGATTCACGAATATGCCCGTTTCACGTATAAACCCTGCTAAAAAGAATTCTTCTACATTACAACAGACTGCCGAAATCTTCTACATACCAACAGACTGCAAGAAACACTGGCGAATTCTTCGCCAGTGTTTCTTGAATGTGGGTAAGAGCCGGAGTGTAAGTATTAACCAATTGAAGTCGAAGACTTTCTCGTTTTAAAATTAATTTTACGTTTTAAAAATAATCTCACGTTATATTGAAATATTGAAAGGACGATTTCTTTTGCAGGTTCGCTTGAATCGATTCAAAGTGAAGTTGACGGTGAGACAAGATCCGGATTTAAACGGGCACAACAGTCAAGACAACGAGAACATAACGGGAAAAATTCCACACGAAGAAGATCCGTTGATTTCGGTAGATTCCGCCCGCGTGGTGTATCACAGAACGACGATCACCAGCGAGGTGACTTTGCACGTGGGACGAAGAAAATCGAACGCTATGAGTTATCTTAAAGGAAAATTCAAGGACTGTAAAAACTGTGTACAAGTTGTAACGCTAAACCGAAACATGTTTAGTAGTGTATCCGTTACGCGTAGAATTATCATATATCCGAGTCTACTTTATTGCCAAATAAAAGTGAAAGAAGACCGGTAAACATTATGTCGCCTTTTTCCTTTTCAAATAGTTTTTAAATAGGGTTTTCTAAAACCGCTGTTTCACAAGAACCGGTTTTGTCGCCAGCCCTAGTAGATATTGCATTGACGTAAACCTACTCCTATAGCGACTACTACGTATAGAAAATCGACGGTTTTAATTATATAAAAAGACTAGCTGCAAGGACCCGCTTCGCTGGGTTTTACTTGGTTTTGCGCGTTTGCGTGAAAGTTGTAGAAAACGTCGCAATTTAGCGCCGTTGTAGTTATTAAACTCGGCCGGTGAGAATGGTATAACGTTTATTACGAAGGGGACGTGGCACCTTTCCTGTAATGCAGTCAAATCTCTCTTTAGCGATATTTAGCGGAATCGAGAAAAAATATCGCCATATAGAGATTTGTCGTTATAATGAGAGTTTTTTTTTGAAAGTATCTCCCTCTTTTAAAGTTGTCAGACTGCAAATGGCTTATTTCTACAAAGTTAGACGATGTTAGAACAGACAGCCGTAAAGTATTATTAGTCTCGAAGTGATTTTATTGCTTGTTATTTCTACGGTATATGTTAGACCTCGAAGTCTAAAATTAATCGAAACTCGAATCTTCGCGGAAAAAAATGAATTAAACTTAATTCTAAAACAATTTCTTAAAGTGAATGCTTTTTGTAATTATTGTAAATGTAATTGCCACACCAAAAGATTTCTGCGCGCTTTCTACGAGAATTATATTATGCTAAATAAAATTATAAGTAATTTTAGACGCTAAAACAACAAAAGCACAGCAAATCAGACAGCCGAGATCTAGCGGGTAACATTGGCGATAGGAATCAAGACAAATAGGGATTTAAGAGAGCGCAACATTTTAACCGAAGCAAAGCCATAAATTGAAATTAATTAAAATTTAATTTACGGCATTATTATTGTTGTAAAGAGAGGGAAATACTGCATATTTTACTAGTACGATAATAAAAATATACCGAGAGTTGACCGTACATCGAATGTAATAAAAATTTGTAATGTAACCACGACGTTACGCCGATGTTATTTGATGAAAAATTTAATATTTTTAAAGAGAAAAGTTTATTGGAAGACATCTTTAAATTCGGGTGAATTAAAGAAACTAGATGATAACTAAGGAGGCTAACGAGTGTCTGAAGTAAATTAGCGGAAACCCCGATTATGCAAATTATTTGCAAAATATAGGCTANTAGGTTAGGTTAGGTTTGAACGTGCGTCCCCACTGTTTCCTTTCTTCTCTTTGCTGGAATCAGAGACGAGCCGCCATTTTACTCACCATAGGTAACATTATCCAATTGTGCTTACTTATTAGTGCAGTCTAAAGATTGGTGACACTTTGAATTTCATAGCAATTGGTTTCTGCGACAAGTACACCTATTTGTGGTACATTTATTTGTGGCAAAGATCTTATTTTCACTTTACCGAGTGCCCAGTAGGTAATGTGCGGATTACCTAGATAATCTGTACATTACCTAGGTAATTTGAGAAATGGAACAATTTTAGCAACTTTAACGGATCACCCTAGTTAATCTGCAGATTAGCTAGGTAATTTGCATATTAACGGATTTCGAGCTTTAGCGGTAACATATATAATATAGATATAGATATATATATAGATAGATATAGATATAGATTAAAATTAAAATCGAATTACGTGGCAATTATCAAATTCTGAAGAAAAGGCAAGAAAAAATATCTCGCCGTGGACGTTTTGCGAAACGATTAAAAATGTGAAAAATAATCAGGGTGCGCTGTAAACTTTGTGGAAAAAGGACGGGGGGAAAAAAGTAATTGTCGGAGAACGGAATCTTATTACGAAAAATACAAACCACAGTTCTCTGTTCCCCTTAAAATGTTTGCAAAAGAAATGAATCAAATGGAGACAATTATTTTAATCCACGGCATGCCAACTTCTGACGGAGAATATCGCGGTACGCTATTGTTATTTCTTAAAAGTTGAAGAGTAAATACAAGTAAAAACTTTGACGTCGTCACTCGGCGTTGGCAATTAACACCAGCAGAATCGATATTTCCTCGGAGGCTCTTCCCTGTTTACGAATATGTAAATTGATTAAAAGTCCCTCCAGCGCCGGATTCTGATAAAAATATTACTCGAAAAATGTAAAAAAGTCCAGGACGAAGTGCGTTATTTTTCTACCAGTCTATTCCGACAATAAATATTGGCCCGCACCGCGTATCGATTACGCAAAATTATTTTCAATTAACCCCAAATGACGTTTATTTTATCTTTTCTCCAAGTCTTTGCAGTTTTGTGATCACGCTGTACTTCAGAGTCGGTGACGTGGCGGGAAAGTTTTCGCCGAAATTTGAAAACATTTCGTTAATAACTTTACGGCGGCCTTTAAATAAGCTGTTTCTCGATTTATCTTCGCTAATTACTTTCGGATATGACATTCCATCGATAGAAAAATTCGGCATTTCTCTGATACAAACGGCACGGTAAAAGACGCGTTAATTCTAATAAACGGGTAGAGAAATGCCACGAATGAACGCTTCTGGGTAAATGGCGGACAAAGCAAAGACCGACTAATAAGGCAATAAATGTCTCTCGTATTACCGACGGAGCCGTTAGCTTTTCGTTCCGTCCAAATAGCGAGGTGACAATTAAGGACCGACAAAATACGGGGGAAACCAAATGAGTTTGTGTAACTTACTGTACGTCGATGAATAAATTTAGCATTTAGCGAAAGAATTTTTTTTTTAATTGCCACTAACAGTAAGTCGGGAAAAAACTTTCTTAAAATCGATAAATATATTCTCGGATTTCAAAGTAATCTTTTTATAATTTATCGAAAAATAGATACGCCGAATATTTATTATAATTTACAGTAGAGCATCGTTTATCCGAAGGTCGGTTATCCGAAGGAATTCCAGTCGACAAGTTTAAATTTTCGCCAGTGCTGTAGCGCTGTAATCTTTGGCTATGTCTTCGGCTACTCAAATATTTTATGTTTTTGATACTAAATTAACTTCTGAAGTATAATTTTTTATTGTTTTTATATTTTTCAATATATTTATTTTGTTCGTACAAAATAAAAAAATAATTTTTAACGATACAATAGTCTTCGTTAGGCTTAACATCGACGAAAATTCAACGCGAAGCGACACGCAACGGAGAAAAATTTCAACACGGGATAAATTAATATATTTTTCCGTACATAATTGGTTATCCGAAAAATAAGTTATCCGAACAACCCCAGTCCCCAATTGATTCGGATAAACGACGCTCTACTGTATTGTAATTATATATCACCGGTTTGAAATATTATATACGCTTTCTATCTTACACCCGATTCAATATCATTTATTTTTGTATAATAAAAATACCGTAAGGACGAAATTTACGTAACGATAATTTTGCGCGTTAATAAACTGTCGGAGGCAAAATAAAATACCGAAATTTATATATTAAAGTCGCATTTTGGCACGAGATGGCATTAAGAGCGGGGATGACGTCACTAAGAAATCGGGTCATTGGACCGATGCCAAAGCGTCCGAGTTTTTCGTGACGCTCCGGGTGTTTTTGATGGGGTGGAAATGGCGTCGTCGTCGGCCAAAGCAATAAAGTGTAGCGAACGACCTAATAACCGACGACGATTGTTCTTCCGCCGGTCGTCAAAACAAAATTAGGAACAAATTAGTAGGGAAAGAAAGAAAAATCGACGAGCTTTCAATGAAATCGTAATTAAGGCTTCTGCTGGTATTTATAAAACGTCTGATTTTCCGGCAGAAGGAGGGAAAACTTTTCAAACGACGCGCTTATTTGGAAAATGTCGATTGTAACCGCGTTTTCTTTTGAAGAACGCGTCCTTTAAGCCAGATTAAAGTGCAGACGACCGGTGGAGGGTTCTGGGAAGGAATCGCCTACTTCTACTTCCTTTTCCACTGAGACGAGGCCAAATTTCGTTGACAACGAAAAGACAAGCTGTGAACACGAAAGGACGTTAAGAGTAACGCTACCCGCGGATCCGGCCGAGGTAGAAATTTAGCCATTAATTAAAAGACCAAAGAGGCTGGGTGGAGATGGGAGGAGTAAATAAACGTTTTTGGACGAAGGAAACAGACAGTCGATAATAAAACAATAATTTTATTTATTACATAATCGACGAAAACCACATTTTGGTGTACGTGTTTATTTCGTTGCCGGAGCAATTTTAAGCACGTGGCCTAAATAAAATTCTTTAAGTTAGGAGACCTCTTCGGTTCCGTGAGCACTTAACAATGTCTTCTTCTGTATTCCCATGAAATGCGAAGGAAGAACTCGTCATTTAACGCGTTTCGCTTTCGTTAAAAATCACATTTTAAAATATATTTGTATATAAAACTGTTTATAAATACATATACAAAATATTATCGTAATATACATGTTTAAAAACAAAGAAATAAAATTCTTTCGTTAAAATCTAACATAAACATTCGACGGAGACGGAAACCGTCCCGCCACGCCTATATATTAATTTTAAAATTTTATACACTCTTTAAAAAAGTTTAATATCTTATAAAATTTTTCGTTGTTATCTTCTGTTTAAAAATTTCTGCATTTTCAAATAAAATTTATTTTAAAAGTATAAAAATTAACACGAATAATAACTCTTTAAATTTTAAAATAATCATAATTTTAAAACAATATGTACACAGATAAAATACTACGAGAGATTGTCCGTAACCATTCGACCACTATTAGAAATTACGAAAAGCCGGGTCTCATCGCTCCGCGCAATGGATACGAGAACGCCTTCCGGTTCCCCGGAAAAGCCCGCCGAAATTATTTAGCACTTTCATCCGCGGAAAATTACACCCGGGATATTCCGACGGGGACCGGGCGAAGAAGAAAGAAGATTTAATTAGCGCCTGGCTTGGCGCCGTTTATTAAATCGAAAAATTGGTAAACAATGGGATTAAGCAGTAATGGACTTGGAAAGGACTTTGCTTTGACCTACGCCGAAGGGGAGAACAGAAACGCCTGGCGTCCTCTTTCTCGAATAAAAGTGTGCCGAAAGTTGAACGTCCTTTCTCGCTAAACTCCAGCCTCCGACAATGAGTTTGCCCCAAAATATGGATCTGCCCGGCGGCCCTAACCCGCGCCGTGGCAATATCAAACACCATCCCGGCCGTTACCGACCAAACCCTAATTTCCAATTCCATTTTCTAATTTTTCGCATTGGCCCAGTTCCGGACGAATCTTTCGGAAACGGCGAAAAAGCAACTTTTAAATTCTATCGGATTTGGTAAATTCTCAGGCATTTAAGTCGACGCGTCGACTCCCGGCCGGGAATTCGTCCGCTGCCTGACGTAGTCGGAACCAGTTTGGCATTTTTTTCTTAATCTCTTATAACCGCCGGACCTTGGACCGCGTGTTTCCGGGACGCGTGCGCATGTCCCGTTTCCGGCAAAACGAGAATCTAACGTCCTCGTTTCGACGTTGCTGCTTTCTCGTAATTTCTCTCTCCACCGTCCACTAAATCTTCAAACCCACCGTTTTTATAATTTTTCTCTCAAACTTTTACGCGGATTAAATCCTTGGAATTTTTTAAACCGAAACTTTTCTAAAAATTTATAACAATAATTACGGATAATTTACCTAAGTTTTACAAATTTAATTTACGTAAAAAACTTGAACCTCTAATTAAACTTTATATTTTGGCAGTTGATCTTTCTAATCCATATACCGCGGGTAAAAATACACTAGTTTCGGCCGGTTATACTTAAATAATATATTAAATTGGGCGGAATTAGAAATTATTAGAATTGACTGGCCAAATATCCCGGAAAATTATGGCGGATACGAGTGGCAGATCGAACGACTCCTGTGAATCTGGTAATCTCACCCAACTGCGCAGGGTTATTTTGAAAGGGCCGAATAGTATATAACGGTTATATGGATAAATAAAGATTTAAAAATGATATTTTCAATCTTTACCACGTCGAGGCTATAAATTTAGAAAAATAAAAAGCAACGTCGAAGACCCGTGTGGGGATATTTTCTTTAAACGGAAAACATACTTTAATCTTTCGCCGGTTTCTTATTTTGGAAAACAGTTGCGGTAGATTCCGCTTCCAGCGGCATTTTTATTTTATTTGTTTTATTAATTTTAAAAATCTGCGGCCAAAATAAAAATGTCGCCCCAACTCGATTCCTGCGCCACCACTTTCCTCAGCCGGAAATCGGTGGACGAAAACGAACAAACGGCCATCCAAGTCAGAGAATATACTCCATAACATTTTCGTTAAAACCCATCGAAGAATTAAAATTAAGGAAGAAATCGGAGAGACGTTTACACTCAATTCTTTCTCGATTTAAAAACAGTGCAGTTGTAATCGGCAATAAAATGTAATATTTCACTGCGAAATCTGCCTATTCCTTCGGGAGAAAACCTTTATCGCCTTCGATTACGGAGGAGATATAAAAAAAATAATAATCTTAAAAGTCGACCCGAAACAAACGATACGACATTTAACTGTCAGCTTACCGTAGGCGAGATTGATAACGTATTATTCACATTAAAAACGAGTACAGTTCCGGCCAAACCACGGGAAAAATCAGAAATATGGAACGGCGTATAATTCGGAAAGATCGACGTCATTTTGAATACGTTAATTAACATTTTGAAGTTATTTCCGGATAAAACAGTTATGAGGAGACTTCTCTTATCGTTTCTACGGCAATGGCTAAGATCGATAAGAATTATCGGTCTTCTCGAGTGCGTAAAAAATTGCTGCTTTTCTAATTCTCGACGACGATTAATTCTAGAATTTTGCAGTATAAAATAAATTCTCGTTATCCTATTTACGTGGGCGAGAACAAAAGATATCGCTCCGAAAGTTTGAAATTACGCGAACTGGAGTGGTAAGAAATGTTTATATGTATACAGTATATATTCTTATAACTTAAATTATTTCGTAGTTTGAAATCTGCATAAAAATCTTACTTTGGTTAATAACCATTTTCACGAAGCGTATTTATACGATTTGGACAAAGCGTTGGAATTATAGTGTGAAATGACGTGGTAAAAGTAATAAATTAAAAATATTACGTCATCGATACTTTGAATAGAGACCATGCGACGGACGTTATATATTAAAAGGGCGATAATGTTAACGGGAGAGAAACGACCGGTGTCTTCCTTCGCCACTTCACTAAACGACGATTGGATGTTCGGCAGTCGTCGGCACGGAAACAGAAGTGTATTGTGTATATCGCATGTGACGCATATCTGGACTTCGACGAAGTTTGGGCTTTCGTCCGAGCCTCGACGCTATACTTTTCCTGAGTTGGTGCTGAGTCTGGCTGGCCGGCGGACCTTCAGCCGAAGTACGGATAGGCGGCCGGCGGTGCCGTGGGTTGCAGGGGTACTTCCGTGGTGCTGGTGGTGGTGACTGTGGTCTCGTACACGCTGGAGCTGGTCACCGTGCGAAATTTGGTACTGAAAGCGTTGTAAGTCAGCGTGTATACTCTGGTGCTGTAACTGGTGGCTGTGGTCACCGTGGTGTAAGTGGAAGTCAGAGTGGTAAACTGTGGAGGAGGCGGCAGGGGAGGCGGCAGGTGGGTGGCGATCAGCTGTTGCAGCTGCTGTTGCTGTTGGATGGCTTGAGTGTTGAGGTACGGCCGCACCGTCGTGGTGTAGTTGGTCACCGTTCTTTCTGTGGTCGAAAGACTCTCCGACAGCGTCCTGGATCTGGTGTGCCTTCCGTCGTAAAAACTTACCACTTTAGTACTGTAAACCGTATCCGTCGTGACGTAAGTGGACGTTTTGGTGATGGTCGAATACAGCGTGACATGACGATTTAACTGCTGCAGTCCCAGGTAGACGGCGGCCAAGGGATTCTGCTGCAGGGCCACGCCCAGAGAAATCAGCGGATTGGCCAGCTGCAAGGGTATGGTACCGGAATTGGCGCCTAAAGGAAGATAGGAGTTATCGATTCCTGAACCCTGTAACATGGGAGACTGGGGAAGGGGAGTCTGCAACAGCTGTTGCTGCGGAGAAGGCGGCAGAGGCACGGCTCCGTTTAGAAGCCCGGTCTGGGCGTTGAATCCAGCGTCTAAAGTGGGTACCGCATTTATTTCTTCGGGGGGAATGGTCACTTCTCCCGGGGGCATGGTTTTGTAGGCGGTGATAATTTTGAGAATAAAGAAGCTTTCGGTCACCGTGTGAAACGAGGTGGAGTCCCCGTCTAAAATGGGTAGTAACGAAGTCCTCCAGGTTCTTTCGGTGGTAGTGTAGGTTCGGGACACCACCACGGGCGGTGTTTCGCCTTCCGCCACGCTGGTGGCCAAACCGTTCTGCGCCGGCGATATTTCTTGTATGCCGTTAGACACGTAAGCCGATTGGTGGACCGTTTTGGGCACGGTGGTGATTATGGTCAAAGTCCTGACCGATTTTCTTCGTCCCACGTGCAAAGTCACCTCGCTGGTGATCGTCGTTCTCTGATACACCACGCGGGCGGGATCTACCGAAATCAACGGATCTTCTTCGTATGGAATTTCTCCCGTTATGCTCTCGTCGTCTTGACTGTTGTGCTCGTTTAAATCCGGATCTTGTCTCACCGTCAACTTCACTTTGAATCGATTCAAGCGAACCTGCAAAAGAAATCGTCCTTTCAATATTTTCTCTCAATTTTTACTATTTAATTTATTGTAAATTATATTATTTTAGCGTTAATTGATACGCCTTCATTTATTCTATAAACACCGACTTAACTGAAACAATACGTTGCGCAATAATTATAATAAATTTACAATTTCTCTAAATATTACCAGGGTTGTTTTTCCATTCGAAAATTAAATGGATTACAATAAATTATTGGTGGATAATTTGTCGTCCTTGCAAATTTTGTTAGCGTGATACGAAGCTACGAACTCTGAATCTTTTATTACCAGCGCTTTGTCGCGTATTGTCGAAAATACTCGATTACTCGTCGATAAGGAAAAGAAAAGAAAGCATTTCTTCGAGTAATGGTTTGAACATTATTTCAGCATTTTTTCAGTTTTGTTATTTAGAATTACATTATTAAAAAAAATATTAATTGTTAACACATAAAATAAAATAAAATATACTTATTACATTTTAATAAAATAGAGTGTAAGTTAGGTAAACTTTTTCTTTCTGTTAAATTTAATGTAAATTATATTTTAAGTGTGTCTTTTTCGATATTTCGATGGTAATATTTAACTAAGATTGTCGACACTTTCTAACATCGTAGAAAGGGACGTCGGGACGAAAGGGTCAGCGATGCACTTTCTCGAGGCGTAACGCGCATGGGAAACGTTATACGATTATACGTGCGGGTTAAGAAAGAAAGAAAAACGTTACCTAGGGGAATTTTTTAAAACAATATAAATATGGCGATTTACATTTGAATCTAGACTAAGGATAATGTGTAATTTAAATCATTACAAACCTAGTGACCGGAGAACTTTACGAAAGTCAAAGTTCGACAATTATGTTCAATAGACGTAACTATCTACGCGGTTCGAAACTAGATTTTTGTCGTTTAATGTTATATTCATGAGATACCGGAACTCTATACGGGTCTTTTAGGAGTAAAATTCGCTCGACTTTCTTTTATGAATAACAATAATAATAAATACGAGAGCATATAGAGCACGTGCGAAGAATATCCTGAAAGTGAAAATACTGTAATGAAGGAGCGACCCGTCCACTCTGCCGATCTAAACTCGCTAGAGCGTTTGTGAAACGAGTCGGGAAGACACGTGGCAGTCCAGATAATCTATTCGAAATTATCCGGCATTTTTGTTCCTGACCGTTATGGAAAGTTAACAAATTAATGTTATATTCTGATCCCGATTTTCGTCATTAATTTCAATGTAGAAAATGAATGCTTATCGATTAATTTCTACTTTTCGCAGATTTGAATTTTGATGCGGGGACGAATTGTTGCATTTATAGAAGAGGAGGCCACGTCACTATCGTCGATCGACTTATTTTCTTAGGAATGAAAGGAATACATACAAACGATTTTTGCGTTTCGTTTGTATGTATTCATTTGTATGTATTCTCATTTGTATGTAATCGTTTGTATGTATTCCTTACATTCCTAAGAAAAGCACGCATTATTTTCTATATTGCTTGAATATAAATTATTGTTATTCTAGAGCAATTCTGCCATAATCATTTACATATTTTAAAATAATTTTATTTATTTATTTTTATTCTTTATGGTGTAGCTAACCTTCATTGAAAATTTGATTTAATCTAAAAATTCATATTGTTTGAAAAATTTAAAAATTTGGGTTGGTTTCTTAATTTTTGACCAGCGGAACATTCGTTATTTTTCGTAATAAATTGATTCGAATAATAAAATAATTTTACGATTTTATAGTAAATTACGATTGAAATAAATTCGTTTAACGAACACTGCATACAGTACTTTCATATTTCAATATAAAACACTTGCAGAAATCATTTCAGCTATTTCGTGTTGTAACTCGCTCTGATATAAAAAGATTTTCGAGAAATTGATGCGAGACTAATTGAAGCAACTCTTTCTCGTTTAAATGCTTGCGTTTCTCCATCCCATTCCTCCGTAAGAATAACAGTAACATTTCATAAACGTTTCGTGAAGTGGACGAACCAAATTTCGTAAAAGCAGAATCGGCCGATTACGGTTACGTTTTTCGTATTTAGTGCCTCCCATAGATCGGGATGGAGAAGACGGTTTCGTATTCTCGTTATGTCCTGTCTTATAGAACTTTCGTTTTGCCCGTACACAAAGTAAAGGTTTTATAAATGTATAGGTCTTATATATAATTTAATTAATTATACAACTTAGCGAGGATCGAATACTTCAAATGATATTTTTTCGACAGTGAAACGAAAATACTTCTCGAAAACCGACTAATTCCAATCGCCGATGTCCCCGTTACTTTACGGGAGTAGGAAACGAATATTCCAGAATATATTTATTAAGAGTCCATTTGATTTTCCTCTCGATTCTTTCTTCTACTGTACTTTTATAGTTAATTACATCGAGATTACATACGTAATCGGTTGTGGTGAATATTCTAAACTGTGTCGTAAACCATAAATAAAATCTTTTCAATTTTACATTGTTTACCGATTAAATGAGCGAACGCGTCAGAGATAGACGAGAATAGGGAGAAATGGTGTGACAGGCAAACGAGTAACTAAAATAACGAATGGTACGATAGCCATACATTCGACGACTAACGGACAATATACGTCTAACTTTAATTCCCGAAAAATTAAAAAGTAACCAAAAATCCAATCAATTTAATATAAAACACGATTGTTTTTAAAATCTTTCGTAAAAAACGTATTTAAATTTCTTTCTTAAAAATTTCTATGTCGATTTCGTCAACACCAAATTTACCATCGTCGCCTTTCGCCCATTTGACGAAATTACACTAAGCTCGAATGGAACATTCCAAAGTCGAGGTCACCACGCCAGAACGCGATTTGGAGTATTGTCCGAGTGCGAGACGTGAAACGAAATATTTTGTCAAGTTTCAATCGATGGAATAGTTAAATAATTTGATTTCTCAGTGCTAATCTGACAATCCATTGGTTTTATCGAAACAATTTTATCGTTATTAATTATACAATATAAAATAATATTTTAAACAATATATTATTTTGACCATATTTGGCCATATGCCAACTAAGTCCATATTTTATCCGTATAATTTCCAGGTACGAGAGAAAATGATATTAAAAAATACCAAGCAAAAATTAAACTGTGGATTCCACACTGGTGGCAAGAGCAAAGAGTTATGTCGCCGACAGATTTACAACGTAATCGAACGGCAATCGTTATCCATAATAGATTTACAAAGAAGTGGCAGAAACACAATTTGAAAATACCGGGTTGATTTTTTCCACACTTGTGATTATTTATCGAAATTTAATTAAATCTCGACATTATGAACAATATTTTTGTCAACATAAAACCTACAAAATTTACATGACCGAAAATCCTGAACGTTTCGGCATCGATAACGCCGAAACGTTCTTCTAACATTTTAAATATAGTCTACTTTTTAAAATTAAATTTAACGCTGTGCCCGCTTATAAATCAATTGGCGTTAACAAATGAATTATTGTAATCCTAACAAATGAATTCGGGTAATTCGCCACATTTTCACCACAAATCGGAACGGAATGCCAAGTAAATACCGACTCCAATCATCTACGAGAGATTGTCCGTAACCATTCGACCACTAGGCTGTCCTCTGTTTGGAATAATACAAAAATACTATTACTCTGAATTACAAAGCTAGAAATTTCTGTTTACTTCTTAAATTACAAATTTGATAAAATCGGGACTTATCATGCAGGAAAGTATTCAAAAGAGTGCAACGAAAATCAGACACTTAAAAAATAACGGAAGTTCTTATAGACGAAGGCGTGTTAATTACCACTACCTTATGCCAATTTAAGTCTACGGTCACCAGATTAGACATGAAAGATTACATTCGAATCCAATGTTGATTTTTGAACACTAACGACATTTCCTATCATCATCATCCATGGAAGTCGACACCATTTTGGCTTATCCATAATAAGCAAAACGGCAATGTAATCCCCATCCATTTTGCCTGGCATTGTGCGCCTGGCACAATGAAAATTCTGTGGAGACACATAAATATGCCCGTACGTTTGTCCGTCTTTATATCAAAGTTATAAAAGCAAGGTGGGCCGTTTTCATAGGTCTAGTGGAATAACTCGAAAAATATGCATCTTACAAAAAACTTAAATCAAAGACGTTAGACTACAAGGAAGCCGAAGACAGGGCTATGGGTTTCGTCATAAATGCTGAAAATCGGCGAAAATGGAATCTACTTCATTTTCTTAAATGGAAGTCTCCATTTTTATTGCATATTCTGATTCCACATCAAAAACAAACAAATTTTAGTCTAAAACGTTTCTTTGGAAAAATGCACTTATCGTAATTTCTGATAAGTGATTCTGATTCTGATAGTGATTCTGTTTTATATTGCTGCACTTCGTGCACTCATGAATCTGTGGATATTTGAATTTCACTGAAAAAAAGTGCTGAAAAAAAGGAAAGACAAATGCCGTAAAAAGTTGTTAGGAAGCTATTCTTATTGGTGAAATCATTCTTTTTGTTCAAATAACGAACTGATACAAAAACTAGTGCCGCAGCTATTAAAGCCTGTGATAAAAAAAAGACGTTGCTCTTGATCCGGACAAGTTGCTAAATACGAGGTGTGCGCAGCACAGGAAAAACGTTTGCATTCGACGATTATGTTTATTGGATGCACAACATTAAGAAGTTTTTCTATTTTTAATGGATTTTAAAATATTAAAAATATACGAAAATTTAGTAATTCAACCGAAAAGCAAATTGTTTTCAAAATAAAGTTTCAAAAATCGTTTTAATTCATAAGTTTAATTGTAATATAAGTTTTATTCGATAACGTTTTTCGTTATTTAATTAATATTTTTTGTTTCGCATATATTATATTTTACATTATTTATCTGGAATAATTAGAGTATTTAGAAATCAAATCCGAACACAATAGGAAAATTGCAAAATACAATATCGAAATTTTATTTAATTATTTCCGTTTCATCGTTTCTATAACTTGTACGCAATTTAAAACAAATTTCTGAATTTAAAAACTTTGATATTCAAATCGTTCGAGAATCGTGATGATGTATAACGCGCAGTGGCTATCAAGCAACGATTAAGGGCCCACATTTCTACAAAACAATATAAATATGAGAAAGTTTTTCATTATCCCATCAAAATATTAACATTTTTATATTTGTTCTGACTAGAAACGAATGATTTTAAATGAACGTATGCTATTTATTTTCGACATATTTTAATGCTTATTTCATCGATTACACTCCTTATTATGCGACGGTGCAAGACGGTAAGTGTAACTCTGTTTCAAAACTTTCCAATTTAGATTTGTAATTAGCCAATAAATTGACCAGAAAGAATACGTTGTCCAATGCCATCACTTATACCAGATATATTTAACAAAAATAATAAATTTGAAAGTTTAATTTGGTAGCCTTCCGACCTATATTTATCACATATTATGAGTAATACCGTAATGTGATTGCTGTGATTATTTTTGTATTTCCTTTCTAATTTTATAATTTTTTAATCTTTGTTACAATTATTAATTTTATTTTTAAAAAATTAAAAACTTCTGCTTAAATTCCTATAGCATGGTGAATGTGGAGGGGCTAAACTGTAAGCATTAGAGGGCCCTTTACCATAATTTGCTTAAAAGATTAAAATTTATTGTTACGCCATCGGTGACTATTAAAATTTAAGATAAAGTTAAAGTTTTAACCCAAATTATTCAAAAGGAAAAAGGAAATCAAATTTTTAATCAAGCAAGGTCTCAGATTTAGAAGACGATGGGAATCTTTTTCCAAAACTATATTTCCAGATCTTGCTAATTCGAGTTTTCTCTGCAGAAGAACGAAAACATCTGCGGAAAAAAAAAAAACAAATCTTCGTACATAGTACGAATCAATACGTAAAGTTGGATAGCAGAAAAATTCAAAGTTCATTCGTCTCTGTGATGCAAATGATAATTATTACAGATGAAAGTGAATTTCCCCGAAAGAAACCAGAAAACGTTATAATGAGATTAATTCTCTGATCTTTGAAGGAGACACGTTTTTTCCTTTTTCATATTTTTATTTGACAGTTTAAAAATTCCGTAAAAATTCCAGAAGAAACTAAAAATATTCATATTTGTGGAATCACTATTAATATATTTGACGTCCCGGAACGAGTCAATTGGAAATGTAAATAAACTGCCGTGCATTTTTCCCAATGAAACATCTCTTTTGTTTAAAATATGTAAATATTTCTTATAAAATTTTATTAAGCTTAAAACGGAAAATTCAATTCGAAGTAGCAATATAACTGATTTCTATTTCGAAGAAATGGTGTCTATTCGAGTATTAGAATAATTTAAAACACGTTTCAACTCGAGTAATAAATATGGGTTCGAATTGTTGGACCTTTCGTTTTCTCCGCCATCAGTAATTTTAAAAGACGTAATTTTCTGTAAAGTTATACTGTATTAAATAACCGGCAACGTCAAAAAGAAGAAATACTCGTTTCCGTTAGAAAAAAAAGGAGAAAAATATTGTAAATTCGGATCATTACGATAAGAATTGTCACGCGGACTTTGGACTTAAATTTATGTATCGACGATAATAAAATACGAGAAATGTTTAAGATTGTTTTCAACTTTGGGTTCGATTATCTTAAAGTACTTATAATAAAAACAATTTTCTGCCTTATCAACCAATTCATTAAGCATTAATTTCTTAGCATATATACACCATTCTGAAACACTCCAATAAAAGACAAATTTCTCATTCGAAACTTTTAGTGCCAAATCGAAGAGGATTCGGAATAAAATGCGAGATGAGAATAAATTGGAGAAAGCATCGCACACAATCCGAAAATTGCCGAATTGCGAATATTATCAGAGTTTTTCATTTATGTTACATACCGATACAGAAATTAGCGAAAATATTTCACGAAAGAAAATCTGCATTTAAAAAATTCGACGATATTTGCAATTAATTTTCCCACAGATTTCGCCATCGTCCTGTAAAAGTTTACGAATTCGCCAACAGCGCACAATAACAAAAAAAAAAAAGTTTTCGCGATTTATTCGAGACTTTTGACAAAACACGCGGCATTCTGCAGAAGAGAGGAGAATTTCACAAATGAAGAAAAACTTTTCAGTAAATCTAAGACAAAATATTATCGCGATTGCAATATTATTATATTTAATTATAGTTCGATTGTTTCGCTTTCCTATGAGGGAAATGCTACAAAAAGCATTGCTACCAAATGAGATTATTCATTTAATTTAGAAAAATAAGCAGAAACTTTGACGTAATTCGCAGTTTGATCTTTATATTGTATATAAAACATCTTTTGTTAACAATTTGCATTGCATACTTGTATACATGGTAGTATTAAAATGCATATTAATGGAAAGCTACGATGTGGCGGGAGACGAAACAATCGAATTTGTTCGTAGAAGCCGGAAGTAGAAAAAGGAACTTACGGTTTGGGTGTTTCTCTTGGGCAGAACGAATCTGAGTCGGCCGTTGGGAGGTCTTCGGGTGAAGACGGTATTGTCTTCGTCTGAGGGCGGGGTGGCCGAGGGTCTGGAGCCGGCGGCGGAGGAAGAGGATCCGGCGCGAAAGGCGTCCAGGGAGCGAGTAGGATGGGCCGACCGGTATCTGGAAGTGTCCGGCAACTTGAAGGAAGAGCGGAGAGAGGCGTGGGAGGAGAAGGCCTGCTCCTTCCTGACGTTCCCTCTGCGGTTCTGGGGCTTGGAGGTGGTCCGAGTGTACCTGGTAGTGGCCGAGTCGGTGGACTCGGACTTGGAGACCACGGGAGTGGGAGTGGGCTTTATTCTGGCCGAGAGTGAATCGGAGCGGGTGGAAGCCCCGCCCAGGATTCGCGAGGTGCTCTGCAGGATCTGGGCGTACTTGCCGTCGATGTAAGTGCCCACCACTTTGGTCTCGAAGACGGTGGTGGCTCCATTCTCGATGTGTGTCCCTCCCAGGACTGTGACCAGCCCGGTGGGGTACTGGGGCGAGGCGGGCGCCGGCCCGCGGGTGCTCTTAATGTCGTCGGCCCCGAACCGGCTGTGGCCGGCATCGGTCTGGGTTCGGACCGGAATGACGTTGTCTGCCGAGTGCAGGACGGCGTTGAGGTGTCCGAAAGATTCCCGGACGACCCCGTCCAACTGGCCGTTCTTAGACAAGGCCAGCGAGTCGGGGCTCTTGGTGTAGGCCATCTCCCCCGCCTCCTCCGAGCCTTCTCCCGAGTCCCCGATGGCGTTGGCCGACACCGAGGGTCCGGAGGTGGACGAGGGCCCGCCAGCCGAGGGTCGAGCCGCCTCCGAAGCCGGAGTGAAGACGATGACGGTTCCGTCCACCGTGGTGCGAAAGTTCAGAAATCCTCGGACGGTCACCGTGGGCAACGCCGTCTGCGATTCCGCCTTTTCCGCCCCCTCGGGCACGTAAACCGGCGCCGCATTTTCGGCCGAAAGACCTGCAAAAACAAAGAAAAGAGTTATTTTGTCACGTTTCGAGTTTACTGTTTCTTAGGAAAAAAGCTTTAACCGTCGGGCTTAAAAAACGAATATACGCGTGCCTAGTGCGTGTAAATTACCGCGGGTAAATAGGAAATGGCGCTAATTGGTAAGAGTGGAGAGTAAAGTAAAGTAATTAACGTAGCGGGAAGAATAAAATGGCCAACGGATTTAGATTCGGTTACTGGCCGACGTCCGAAAAACCGAAAAATTTAAATCCCGGTTTAACCACCTTCGACTAGAAACTATCGACAGGCGCGCTTTTTACTGAATTTTCTAACCCCGTCTTCGGTTTTATATTTATTCTTTACCAAAGTGCCATTTTCTAACTTTAATCTACTAACGAAAACTGGCTTTTTTAATCGAATAAACATTTTCCCCTTCTTAAACAAGTAAAATTAAAATGAAAGAAAAGGAAATTTTATTCTTTTATGCGTTTAATTTATTTATAAGATAATAAATGGAGTGCGGTTGAAGAAAGAAAGTACGATACGAACGTCAAACCGAAATCCGTGGCAAACTGGTTTTTTGTGGGTGAGATGCGGTCTGATTCTATAAAGTCTGTCCGAATACGTATCGAAATAATAGGAGAAAGCTCTAATTATGTCGTAACAAATAAATATTACGTGAATCTTTTTTTAACCGTGTACAGTACGTGACCGGTGTGAGCATCTGGTTTAAGATTAATCACAGTTTATTCTTTCCCGGAACGCCATGCCAAATAAATTCATTTAAATTCGTTTATTTTTTGTTAATTCTTTTTCCTTTTTAAAAAATAAATAACTCAGAGGAATTTTTCACACAAAATTAATATCGATTATTTGCACAATTAATACAAATAAATTAAAATTGCATTTACTCGAAATATTAAAACAATCCGTTAATTTATTTGTGTATTTATTTAAATACGTATAAATAAAGTACCGATTATTTAAATTTTCCTATAAAATGTGATTATAATTTATATTAGGGCCAATCTTCTTCGTAATTTTAGAAAATATTAATTTAATGGCCTTTTTTTATAGATATTATGAAAAATAACTAAAATACTTTAGATAAAAGTTAAAATAAGCATAAAATTAATTAAATTGAATATTTTTAAACGTAGCGTAAATAACATTATCAAGCTTTATATTATTTATTAATCGGATACTGTGTTCTAAATCTTTTGTTTATATAAAAACAAATAGCTTATACTTAATGGAAACGAAATATCTGATCATCCAATTCTGCGGTTTATCACTTTATTTAATTATATTTTATATCAAAATTTGTTTTTGTTAAATTTGAATTCATTTTTTAATAAGCATTATATTATAGTAGAAATTTTATTTTAATGGTGTCGACTGACGTAAGAGAATGCTTTAGTGAACAAAATGCAATTTTATAAAACACCAAAAAGTAAAATTAAATAAAACACTGCGTTAGAGAACTAATTTTTAACTAATTATTATAATTTTTTTAATAAAAGAATATATATATATATATATCCCTTCTGCCAACGGATCGTATCATAGAATAAAGCCTGTTTCTTCCTTCTCCGTGTAATTTATTTCTAACAACTTTATTCGACCCTTAAATACCATTTGCATACGTATAAAATAACATGCAAATAAAAATACTTTTTTGTGAATATAAAACATTATCTGAGTCAGTCATCAAAATTAAGTAGCTCTCATTTTTTATTTTATTTCGATAAAATGAAGCGATATATCTTGATTAACCGAGTAATATAACCTAAATTTTACAATCGTTCATTATATTCAAAAACCTCGAAATTACGTGTCAAAGAGTTTGAAGTCATCGCCTATATTATGCCGACGAACTATATACAAAATCAAAAATTTCATCGAATTCTGTTTAAAATTCTAGAATTTATACCAGTGCCTACAGCTAAACGTTCGCGGTTAAGAAAAACAAAGAAAGCAGAAGTAGAAAACAAAATTCTACAAGATGCTTAATCATAATAACTGGAACATATCCTAGAAGTACGAAGTTCCAGTTTTAATAAAATTAAAGAGAAAAGGACAGACACAGAAACGGGCAGATGGAGGGAAAAGACAAATAGCATTTCGTTTTGAAAAATCACTATGAAAATTTAATTCATTTTTTAATAATTGTAACTTTTATCAGCTTTCCCTTTCTTAGTTTATTTATACCGATATAAAATACAATTAAGAGTACAAAAGTAATTAAGAAAATAAAAAATTCATTAAAATGTTCATAGCATTAAAGTATATTTAATGTATTAATAAATCTAAAAAAAGTTTCTAAAATATGTTAAAATTTATTAATGCAGAAGGTAAAAGCTAAATTTAATATACAAAATTACCAATACGATAATTTCTTAAAGACAGAAGAAATTAATGTGGAAATAGCAATCTGACAGAAAAATAGTTGCTTTTTATCTGATTTACTTCCTCTTTCGATGGAAATTCTCGACTTAATCGTTTCGACTAAAGGTAGCCTTGTCAGCCAACGTCCTTGTACTCGGCATCCATCTCGAGGTAACAGGCAGAAACTAAAGACTTTTTCTAGTACTAGATGAATCTATTTTTCCGGAAACGCCACGCCTAAAGATAACAATGCCTCACCTCCGTTACTGGCATATTTCTACCTGACCACTACTTGTATATGCAACTATTTCCTTTCGTAGCGGCAATGGTCGCGGCACTCGACTACGAAAAGTCAACGTTCCTCTGGTCGACAAATTACGAGTAATTCTTCCACCACTTAGCTTTTTACAATTTCTCGTTGGGATACGCGGTCAAATCTTTCGGTTTAGAAAATATTTCGCGGCACTGACCTTTCTAACAGTAATTTGAATTTCAAAACCTCAAATACAGTAATCGTAATATATAAAGAGTAAATCGTAAATATTATTAAACTTTGCTCAAATTCCAAAGTTAATTAAGTCTTTTAAATTACAGTTCCATTATTTCCGTTTGGAACTTACAGTAAAATTGTTTATAATTATGGAAAGGTGTTTTTATGAAAGAATGCCCAATTAAATCGACGAATATATGAAACTTAATAAGAAAATCTGTAATTGTACTTTTTAAAGATTATCGATTATTACTTTGCCGTAGTAATTATTGATAATATTTATTATCCAGTTTCAAATCTGAAATGAATACTCCATTATGACTTGCGTGCCAATCACCGTCGATGACCATGATAATTATTTGCCGATCGCCAATGATTGTGGAATGTTTATCAAAGTTTTGTTACCCGATCAAAGCACAACGTGGTTCTAACCAATAAGGAATTTAAAATCATATTTTAAAAACATCACTCGAGTAATTTAAATTATATTTTTTCGGAGATTTTACAAAACAAAAAGAAAACGTTTTGTTCCTTATTCTTTTCTGATTAATAAACAATTATCGATTATCACAAGATAGAGTTTGAAGTCTAAAGATGTAACTTTCTAAGAATAATAGAAATTTCTAGAATAATTCTTAAATATTACGTATAAGCATAAAAATAATGGTAGAAAGAACAATCTAACCACAAAATTTTGTTAAATCGTAAAACGGCAGGTGTAAATTAATAATATTAAAAGGGAATTATTGTAAATTTAATATAAATTAACAAAACTAACCGAACTCCGTCCCTAAACAAGGACGACATCCGAGAATATAAAAGGAAAGAGAAATCAAATTTCGAAAATGTCTCTTCTCATTTAGATCATCAACCGGTTGGCATTAAACTCGTGACTACTTAAAATAGTCAAATGTTTCCGTCCAGAATTTTTATAACTTTAAAATCTGGGCTAAATAATAACGATTTACGCAACTCTTATTATCGTAATACGGTGATATATTACTGGCAAAATTGTACGAGAGATTCTTAATTCGGTTCGTCCCGCTCTACTTGTTTCGTTTCGAATTCGCTATAATATAAACATACCTCTATTCCTTTTTTCCATAATTGACGTTTATAAATATTTTAATCTATATAAAAAATTATTTTTTGTTTTATGAACATTAAATTTTTTTTAGTTTAACGTAACTAAATTTTAAAAATAAATTAAAATAAAATAATGTTATATTGTCAAATATAACATTACATTTTTTATAATGCATAATTTTTATTGCTTTTAAATCTTGGAGGTAATTAGATAATTAGTATTAGATAATTCTATTATTATTACTTTTTCAATATTAATATTACAAGATAAAGTTGTTTTAAAATAAGGTTAAGCAATACAAGTTTATTCTTATGCAATATAAAATCTACGCTTCTTATATTTCAACTTTGTTTACGCCATTAAATTATTTCAAATTATTTACGTTTTATATAAACGAAAGGAATTTTTTCCAATCGAATATCCGGTTATATTAAAGTTTCCTTAAATAAAAATCTTTAATAGAAAATGTCGATTGTAAATATTATCATCACCATCGTTCGAAAATTTCCGCTTTTCGACGGATTTCCTCGTTCTTGCCGGAGATTTCAGTCAAATCGACACTACTTTACCGTTTCTCTCTGCCCGTCGCATCCTCTTCTGCCAAATCGCATTCTTTTGCGCTTCTTTCCCTTCTCACGTTCCTCCAGGTCTTCCTCTCACTCTCTTTCTCTTTTCTAGCTCTATTACTGCTTGTGGCAGTCGTTCTTTGTCCATTACACGTCCGTACCATTCTTAATTTCTTGCATTATGTACTGTACCTATCTGCCTTCGTCTCCTATCTAATCACTTGATTCCGTACTCTTTCCTTTCTTGATTTTTTGTCGCTATTCTTCGGAAATCCGACTCTACCGCCAGTTGCCTAAGCTCCGTCTCTTGTTCGCCTTCTGCAGCCACACCACACACTATGCTTTGTAGGATATCCGTTTAGCTATTCTCATAAAGACGGTGGCAAGATAAATTTAAAATATTGTAGATGAATTTATAAATCTAATGTAATTATCGTATTTTAAATTGTCTTATCCTAATTTCTTTTAATACTTCGGGTTA